TTCTTTTTTCATTATCAAAGAGTATTTAATACTTTTTTTTTATATAAAGCAAATGAAAAGAATTGTTTTACGTTAAATGGAAACTTAAATTCGATAACACATATTTATTTGAAAAGTATTGAAAAATATATAGCTTTCGTCAGATGATTCTAGGAATCGTCAGCCAGAAATCATTTTTTATTTATTACGGAAGAGTCTAAACTAGAAATTTAAGTTTGTTGTACATTAAAAATATTTTCGTCGAACCATACAATACATTTTTCCTTTCAACGCCAGGCACACTTCCACTTTGTTTCATTGTTATAAATAAAAATAATGAAAATTTACAAAGTGTATGTAACTGCATATTTTTTTCCGATTCTTTGATCTTTAAACAGAATTCAACGAAGTACGAAGGGTTCAAGTAGGATAGTTAAGGAATGTGTGGATATAAGAAAAAATTACGCACACCAGCTAAATCATCGTCGATTGAAGATTATTGATCGATGTCTATACTAGATAGAGGAAGTGTTTCCTTTTCGGCACATTCCATGATAATGTTAGCGCCACAAAACGGAGCAAAATTTTCATTTCGAACACTTCACTCATTTCCATAACTGCGACACAAGTTAAAAATCACGCTTCGCTAGGAAATGTGCTCAACAATGTCCTAACTTTCCTTATTATATTTTATGAAACAAACATATTACATCACGAACTCGATCAAATTCGTTCTCTTTCTTTCTTTGCGTGCGTGACTAGCTAGTGTTGCAGCAAATGAGCGATTTGTTAAGTGCTTTCGTGTGTTTGTCGGTTAGACTAGAGTCGCGCTTATATATTACAACGAGAGTAAAACGGGCAGGTGTTTTCCACGTTCCCAAAGTGATCTTCCATCGCATCGCGAATGCAATTCAAAGCGATAATTCATGTAAAGTGTTTTACTTATCAATGAAGTGTCGGAAACCAAAATACTCTATTCTAATTGTAAGATTATAAGAACGATGTAGTTCATCGAACGAGTGAGAGGATCCATATTTTTGAGCGTTTAAAGAAGGTTGATGTACTGTTGCAATGAGGATTACGGTTGCCAATTTTACGCGTAAAAGAAAGGAAAAGAAAAATGATTGTGATTTATTTTGCATCGATGTTGACGAGATACGATGATTACCGGTAAGATATGATATACATACATGTATACATAAACATTCTATATATAGATATGCATATATTGATCGTTAATGGTATTGTGTAATTTTACGCGTTTGAACGGTGACGTATAAATTCAGGAAAGGGACGTAGGGAGATCTTATCGGTTGGTTGAATTAGCAGTTTCTCTTTTATTAAGTGCGGAAAGGTTCGATTGACTCGAACCGTGCGAGAAAAAAATAATTTATATTTAATAATAATTTTCGCTGACGCTTAGAAAGCAGCATCTTATCTTGTATAAAATACAGAAGGATTAAGTAAGTGAAGGCGATGTAGCATACGATTCATTGGCAACGATACGTTGTACATTTCACACAACTTTAAAACATATAGTCAAGATACTATTATATTATATATATATAGATATATAAAAATATTTATATATATATATATAATAATAATAATAATAATGATAATGTAATGGACAATTGATCAATCTCGTCTGTACTACGTTTATACATATATGTATACATACAAACAAAAGATAATATAATTCGCAGTATAAATTCGTTTAGAGGTAAGACTATTAGCCGTAGGTGATACATTTCTAACTACTTTGCCAACTACGATACAGTATTTATGGAGAATTTTTATAACGCGACGCAAGTACAGTACACGTGGAAAGATAAGGATCAGTTGTAAGCTTGAGTATCGCGCAAGGGAAAGGAAACAAAAAAAAAAGCTTTGTATGGATGTATAGTGTATATCGTCGATTGTGCTTTCCGCGATAAACAATCGCGTACTAAACTATCGTAAAGTTGTTGTACCTAAATAAGGCGGTTATTCCAAAGCTTAATTAAGGAAAACTACTATTGTCTGTGCTGGACGAAACGAAGGGAGACGATCGTATTTCATATATCTACATAATCTTTTTCCGTTTCGTTTTTACTTAAGAACCTCATACTCGCTCATCAATCTTTTCACATATTTTCTGGTGCAAATGCGTAATGTAAGTCCCTCTCCCTTTCTCGGCTATCGATCAAATGATAGATAACAAATTTCCAGTAAATAACGACATTTAGCTCATGTAACTTGAAGTCCATTGCGAATGAGAATAACTTTTCATTCGTTGTGTACGATAAAGCAAAGAATGTATGTCAGGCAAGGAAAAAGAAAGATGCAGACTTAATACCTTTATGATGATTACAAGTGTACGACGGTATTATTATTATTATTGATAATAAAAAATTTGTAGCAAATCTGTACAAAGCCAAATAAATCAAAAACTTTCATAAATCATCGAAGAATCCTCGATTCAGTTGTTTATTTCAAAGGATGAAGTACATAACACCCTTATTCTCTATAAGAATTATATCATACATCTCTCTTTCTGTATTTTTAATTTTATCGAAATCAATTATCGTAATTACAATCTATAAGAGCTTAAAAGCTAAGTATTAAGATCGACAGTCGCTGAGTATGGCCAATTTTTATTCTGAGCTACAGAGAATACTTGAAAGCATAATAAAGAAATAAAGAGGGAATAAAGGGTTGATGAATGAATGAATAAGCTCTTATAAGACGACAGGTGTACACCCTACCTTTCTTTGTAACGGCAGTCGGCCGACTGAAGCACTGAAGCTGCGCGCGGTCAGCTTTTTATATCTTCACGCCCCTCTCTTCCTCTACAACGGCGGTCGGGCCGACTGAAGCACAGAATAACTTTTTACTTATTCTGTTTTACTTATTCTGTGGCTTCAGTTCAACACGGCGCTTTGACCGGGCAACCACGCGTCCAGGAAGCAAGCGCGTCGAGAAACACTCGCTTGACAGTTCCGTTCTCGATCACGCACGACCGATTTTACTTGTTACTCGTTCGGTAATTTCAAGCATTTCAAGTGAAGAGTTTTCGCCGTCAAGTTTTGAACGTTCGAGGAGACGATCCAAGGTGGGTGAAAAATTTTTATTTCTTCTGATTTTTCGTACGATATTTATGACTGAATGAATTTCATACATTGATTGAATATCTCCTCGTTGTCTTTTTTCGTCTCTCGTCAAAGAGAATTATCGACTATCGAGTTAAAAACGAACACCGGAACCAGCAGTTTGCGATGCAACTATCACATTGATAGTCACATCTGGAATGTCACGCGCGATCCTTTATAATGCGAATGCGATTTACTTTGATTCGGAGGCAATTCAATGTGAATGAATGTGAAACACAATTAGACAGAACTTAATATTATGAACTGAAGCAGACACTTTGAAATACTTTTGGTAATCTTTTACTTATTGTTAATGTCTTTCTCAATGAGCTGTAAAAGATTGTTTTAATGATAGCAATTAGCTACCGGTAGCAGAGAGAGAAAATATAGCCGATCGATCGATGCACAGACTTTGAACATTTTAGTGCATGGAAGTGAGAAGGATCGAGAAACGCGAAATTAATGCATCGCGAATTGCGCCGATGCGAACGTCTTTGTGATTATAATCCTTTCTACCGCACACGTGAATCAGCTCAGAGCAATTGCATTCAAGTTACGACTGTTTACATCGTGAGGCAACGGGGTGTGCCGTGAAGCCGGACCCACCACCATGAATTATGCATTACGGGGTGGTTTCGGTTCTTTTCTTTTCGTCGCTTTTGTCCAATCGCGCGTATACGGGTCCGCGTCCAGCTCACGACACGATAATATCGTTTTCCGATCGCGATTCATAAAAAAAAGACGATGGGAAGCCAGATTTTCGGATACGTACAGCCGTTGTGTCGTCTCGCCTTTCTCGTCGAATTTGTTTTAACGGAGAGCACAGACCGTTAAATTGGAACGAATGAGGCTTAAACGAAAGCGATAGGACAACGATTAATTAATGGTTGTTCCGCTTGGCTATTCATTTTTTGTCCGTCTGCTTGTCTCCCTCTTTCTGACGTATTATTTTTTTAAATTATCCAAATGACGGGACGAAATATGCTCAATAAGCGTTTGGACAGTTCGCAATGAAACGAGATAGCAAAAGCATGTTTCGCGTAATGGTGTCAAATACTGTGCCGAAACTAGCATAATATTCTCGCCGAATCTTTATTTCTTGAATGCCCATTAAGAAAAATGATAACATTTTACGATCACACGTTGTACGGTTCATGTAATGTTTTTAATTCACATTACGCGTACATAAAGCTATTCACAAATTTTATCCTGCTAATGGTAATAACTATTTCTGTTAAATAAAGACATACATATTAAATTGATAGTGTTAAATGTATTAAACGTAGATGACTTTTTAATATAATATTGTCCGAGATTCAAAGAGACGAAGACTAAAACAGGACAAACTGATGAATAAAAGATTTGGTGAAATATTTCATTTTTAACATTTCCGCAAGTTTTTCACTTAGCAGACGTGCGTTCCTGCGACTGGCCACGCAGTCGTAAACCTCGAAACTCGAAGATCTGGTTACGATTTGGTAAACCACGTATGGTTCTGGCCCATCGGAAACATGGCCTCATGACAGCATTCAGTGCATACTACATTGCGAACGCCTATGACAGTTATTACGTGTCGAACGAAACGGTCCGCGATGGTATTTCTACGATGTAGTAACGCCCCGATTGACGCGAGGATTCTCACGGAGTTCTCGCGATTCGTTTAATATGTTGAAACATCGAATTCATAAGCGAAAAAGAGAAAATCTTTAACTATTCTGCTGAACGATATATCTGATTAGTGTGTAAGACATCAGTCCGTGTCGACTCTTTCTTTTAAATCAAATATTTAGAGCGATATAATAAAAATATGAAAAATTAATTAACTGCATCGGGAAAATTAGAGACTAGAATTTAGATTAGATACAAATTGTTATATTAAACGATTCAGTAACAAGATATCTAAAATGTGTAAGTAGTTCACGCTATATCTCGCGCATTCTTCGTCACTTCATTACTTAACTTCATACTGCGGAGAAGTTAAGATAAGAGGATTCTTAAATAGAAATTGTTAAAGTCGATCGGAACGTGTTGAAAATGTTCAGAAAGGTGACTCGTTACCGAATCACCCCCAGGTGTCACGATATGAATCGCGGGGCAAATATGGTCAAAGGCAGCGATAAAGTATGCTCGGGGCGTACGCTTTGTGACCGTGGTCTAGCCATTAAAGTTTCCCAATAAGGCGTCTTTTACGCACGCACGTGAACACAGGCGATCGCGCGGACGCTGCATCGCGTCGCGTTATGTCGCGTCGGCCAGACAGAATCGAGGCTCCTACTCGCGTGGGAAGCGATAGTATTTCGATATCACCCTCGCACCAAGGATACGCGCTCTTCAATGTTCGCGTATACGCGTGCGTAATCACGTATGCACACATACGCGCGCGCATAATCGAACCGGCTTCCGTGTGTACACCAAAGATGCGTCACCAATAAATGTATGTACGCAAGGGGGTACTGTATGTACCGCGCCGATCGAATGTGTCTTCGAGTATACGACAACTGAGGTTCACACGTCTCCCATTCGAATGACAATGACAATAGCTTGCGACTCGGGAGATAAACGACAGATATAGTAGTATACATACATAACACATGTAGTGGAACAAGTATAAATGTAGGGGAAACTTTATTAGGAGATTTGAAGGGTTTACGAGGGTTTGAATTCTTGAAGGGATTTTAGACTGAAAATTCCGATCCACCTTTACTAACATCTGCGTCGAATTGATGGGAGATTTTATGTCACACCATATTTAGTCGAGTTTAAACGAACAATGGAAGATATTTTAGACTTATGTATATATAGTAGCAAGATCTATAATCATTTTGAGAAATCAAACGCAGCTTCATCTCTAAAAAGACACGTACCAACCAGCAGTATATTTAATTCCTTGATCCAGCACTTGAATCTATTTTTACTAATATAAATTAATTGAAAACCTTCAAACACGATTAAAAGAGCTTGCATTTAAATTATTACCTTCTACGTGTCTCGTTGGATGTCAACTTTCGGGAATATTGCCAACAGGCTCCGCGTGGACAGGCAGTAAAAGTACGGTGGAAAATGATTGCGAGTGTCGAGAGCTGTTCGCTGCAACTCCCCCGTCCACGCTTCAAAGCGTGAATCGACTCGTGTCTTCGTACGCCAGTCTTTGCTTTGAACCCGCAAGCTTGACTATATTACGGTTTGCGCTCACCAGTAAATTCACCTTTACTTTCCGCTTCTTTTTCTTCTTTCGAGAACGGGGCTCTGACTGCTTTTTTCCCTGCGCGTGTAGCTAACGAAGGAATGCGGGCGACTACGTACGCGAGAAACTGCGCGAACAAAGGAAGAGTTCTCCCATTTTTGTCGACAGGTAGGCACGTCACCCGTCGCGCCGGTTATAAACTGGGTCACACGTAAATGGATTTCCACGATAACGCTTAATTAACGCGCGAGACGATACTTCAATTAGGTCGCTAATTGACCAGTCCGATAAATCAGTCGCCTCGTTAATAATTCTACTACTATTAATCGTCGACTTCTCGTGCCTTTATAAAAATACAGTACAGAATTCTTCTATAATTTTGTAACAGCAATTTGATGAATATTGCATTAAATAATGTAAAACTTGTTTTTCCGTGAAATTTCTCATCGTATAAACTAACAATGCAAGATGAGATTAACTGTTGTTCATGGCTCTCAGCACAAAAAAGAACTATAGAAATTCCTAAAGCTTCATGTACTCTCGTTGCTTTCAATGGTCTGACTAATTCTACATGTACGTCACAATCTAACGCGAACTACTCTACTGTGACTCATTGTATAGGCTGTATGTGTTAAAATAGTCTGCAGTGTTTGTATATTGTGATTGTAAATTTTTATGTTCGTAGTTACGAACGGTTGAAAGATTAAATGAATACGTTGGAAAGATGTGATTCGAGAAATCGAGAGTGACTTCTGGCGAGGATTATATTTGTAGCCGCGGCTATGGCGACGGGCATGCATGCCGTTCGGGAAGCGAATGCACGGTGCATTTTAATCTTCCGACCGGCTGCACCGATGCGAGCTGCGTTGTCGGACACTTCTACCGAGAAAACGAGGCCCCTGTGGCAATTTCACCGATCTCGAATGGATTCGCAGTTGCTTGTTAATGCGTTCCCCAGGAATAAGAAGTTAGATATCCCGGTGGAAGCCAGGGATAGAACGAGCTCACGTTCGAGGTCCCTTTTCGTACAATTTTTACAATTGCTTCGATAAAATGGAGCAGCTCGAGAACACTTTTTCTGACATTTCTCCGGGATGCAAATAGCAGAGCTTATCACGCATTTCATTTCGATTTATCAGAAGCTGAGTTCATAGCACTTTGCGCAGACGGTCGTATCGCGATCTTCAGGAAATATACCCACTTGCACAACTGCCATCGTTGCAATTGGGTCTCGATGACTCAAACCTTGAAGGCTGGTTTCTTAAATTTCTCTTGGCATAATATATCGACTTCAAACTTTTGCCCCGCGATTCATATGATGTACGCACGTGAATATTGATGAAGGGAGTGGTTAATGAAAAATAACGAGCTGACCGGGCAAATTGAACGCCGCTAAATTCGTCGTGCAATTCATTCGTCATTTTCCGCGTGCACGTTTGGCATTAAGGTTCTCGATACCATAGGCAGCCATGGCGTGGCACAAGCAACGCCGCGTATTTATGCCAACGACGGCTTTCGCGAACACGCGTGTGCACGCAGTTCCATTTGTACCAACACGTATCTAGAAACCAATTTATATTTATGATGTATCGAGGCTCGATGACACAGCGACTGGCTATGCTGGCCTCTCGAACCAGCCGGGACTAGCAGGAACAAATGGAAGAGAGAAGAGAAGAAGGAAAGAAGGGAGGGCAGAAAAGACGGTAGAACCGGGCGCGCGAGGGAATGAAAAGCGTCGGACCACGAGGAAAGTAGATGCGTGCACGGCTTCTTTATTCGAGCTAAACATCTCCCACCGAACGTGTTCCGTCGACTGTTTTAAAAGAACCTTAACATGAGTAGAAAGTTAATCAGGAATGATCGAAAGGGAAACACTGATAGAATGCTTGACATTTTAATTCTCCACAATTGCACTTGTTTATCAGGGAAGAGATTGTGATTGATTATAATGTATCATTTGCACGTATTTAGGTCAACGTAAGAATAATTAAAGAAATAAAAAGATTTTTAACCCATAATATCTACAACACGTGGATCGCAAAATCTAGAAATTCAAACACATAGATGAATCTTTTTCTTTTAACCGTCGTGCCTCATTATAAAGGGTTAATCTCTGATCTATCCGACTAACTTTCCCGTAAATTAACAACGACGGTAGTCAGGAAAAATCAAACTGGATAAAAAAGTTGGGTAGAATTCCAGCTAAGGCATCGATACGCTGTCCACGGGGAGGATGGAGGGACGGACGCGACGCGTATAGCCGATGCGCGAGATCGGCGATTATCTTAATTGCCCGGCCTAGCTAGATGCGCTTGGAAATCACCGTTAAGACGGTCGTCTTGCTCGTGGTACCTTAATTATCCCCCGTGGTTGTTCCGTTGCCATGCCGCCGAGGCGCCTTGCATTGAACTGTTATCATCGGGTACGTCGTAAATAGGATTCCACCTCGGAAGTAATTCCGTTGAGCCATGCGCTTCCTGCTGACCGGTCCTGATACGCGTCGATCGTTAATCTTTAACCCTTTATATTTGGCCGTCGAACATCCGAGAACTTATTCGCACGCGAACGGCTGGCACGTGAATTATGCAACGACCACTTATTCTTCATGATCAGTCGAAGCTAAATCGAACAGCATGATTTAACACAGTATGGGGGAGTCAAGATCCTCCATCGCGAATTAACGGCAAAATAACTGGCAAAAATGACGAAAACGTTACAATACTATACAACAACACTTCCCACGTTTTTATAAAGAGTCCAACGTGGAATGCTGGAACCCTTTCGAAAGAGATTCATGGAGATAGGCGTGGCTGTTCCTGGAACGCAAATCGTTCTACGAAATTGTAAATTTGCCTGTGAACAAAAGGGGATTCAGTCTGGTAATCCGCCGTCGACGGAACCTTCGAATTAAATGCGAACCGAACGACGGGTCTCGTATATAAAACATCCACCTTATTCTCCTCTTAAAAAACAATGAGAAAAGGGATTTCTTTAAAAAAAAATTAAAGTTACATAGATTACATATAAAGTTTCTACAAGGATAGAAACGGTAAGATACTCGCAAAAGAATTATGGGAGGGTTTCGTGAAACCGTTTTCCAAAATATTTAATCGGCCACGATTGGCTGGAATCACGATAAATTATCGTCGGATAAAATCGACGGTATGTATGGAACGAGGAGGCAGGTAAGAGATAAAAAGAAGTAGAAGAAAAAGAAGAGGAAGGTGAGCCTGGGAGGATCTCTGGATAGAATGTGGGGACGAAAACAAGAGGCTGAAGAAGTAAAGGAGCACCTGTCCAACAGCTGCTTTGCAGATGGCCTGCATCGCTGTTAGATTATGCAACGAGTAGGTATCTCGTGTTTCTGTAATCATACGCCAATTGTTTTAGATTATGGCGTTGGCTACTTTCTGTCACGTAAATTCCAAATTGAGCTTTGAGAGGAATATAAGAATTAGAGAGGTGGAAAGTGAAATTTTCATGAACGTATTTAAAATAAATCCTGTTCGCGCGTTAATATAGCGAAGGAGTCTCGCGAAGCAACAGGCCGCTAACCGGAAACGTGTGATTTGAATTTACGAGTGTGGAGTTCACGCTAGCCGTCGACTTACGCCCTTTTGATAACGAGCTGCCGGACAGAGGACCCATTGCTGGATGACTAATGGTCGTAGCCTCTTGTCCAGGGGCCACCAGGAGAGAGGAAGAGGATAGATATCGCATTCCGCGATGCGCGTGTCGAGAAAGAAGTTTGCGAAACGTGAAACGCGGAAATCTCATTCTTATTCTTTTACATTGACTCTATCTTCCGTCCTGTTTCGTCTTGATTCAACTCAGCAATGTATATCTTTCTATTGCTACACTTCTTATAGTTTTTATTTAAACTTTTATTTTACGTTCAGTTTAAGAGAAATGGTTAATTCTGGAATCTTTTTATATTATCATGTTTTCCCTTGAGCCATCGATATTGTTACTTTAATCAGCTCTCTGTCAACGAATTAAACACTGAAAATTAATTCAGTAGGGAGCCTCACGTACGGCGAAACAATGGGGCCTCTACTGAACACCGCCAAGGCGTGGCAGGCTCCAACAATGAACGCTTCGATTAAAATGGAAAAAAAAGAAGATTGACTTGGCTGTCCGTCGAACGGCGACACGTGATCTTTGAACAGTCTTACCTGGTCAGGCGTTCGTCGTGAATGAGTGACTCTAACGACGGTCTTATTACCGTCACGTGACGGGTGTTAAGCGTTTCGGTAGTTAAAGACGAGGCACTTGATAACAAAAAAATCGTGCGAGTGACGCGTGTCTTCTTAAAGCAACGACATATGTTCGTTCTCAAGGCAAGATTGTTTCTATTTGTCTGTCCGCGAGATCAGAAATTTTCTGGGGAAACCGCGAGTGAATCACGATGCTCCTTTCCAGTGCGATGTCAGAGATTCGTTAATTCCAACGCGAAACTCGGGAGACAGTATAAATACAAACAGCGATTAAGAGACGATCCTAAGTAAACCGGGGTTCGTTCGAGTGGTTCTCGAGGAGGTCCCGCATAAGAAATGGTAAAAATAAGACCGCCGGCAGATGTACATGGAGAAATTTAATTAAACATCACAGCCCCGTTCTCCCCACATACATTCTCGAGAGGGACGGTATTATTGTTCAGCGTCCCTTCCATTTCAATATTGCTACCATCATCAGATGTGACACTATTGCTTATAAAACCACAAATACAGTTAGTCTTTTCATGCAAAAATCAGAATTATATTGTAAGATTAATATTATGACACGTTTCTTTTCTATTCCAAAAAGTTTGTATACACGTACGTATGTGTAAATTGATCTCATGGTTAAATAAAAATTTAACAAAACTCCGCTTGTTTTACGATTTATAAATAGGATAGAGTCGAAGTCTATATCGTACTGGCATGTAATGGCCAACCGATTCGCCACATCGCGCCGCGGCAACATCAAAGAGAAGCGCTCATCTGGGATGGAGGAATAAAACCGATGAAGTTAAAGTTTAAAGGGGATCAAAAATCTCGAGAAACACGCATGTTCAACAATGAAGGGCCACCGCCCACTAAATCATCCACGAGGTCCCGAACGTAGACCGATCTAAAGTTAGAAGGCGAAATAGGTCAGTTTTGAGGGTGGGGCAACTTTCGATCGATCTTTCAGTTTAGTTCTTCCGTTCATCGAAACACATAGAGATTTCATTAGGTAAAATGCATATGTAAATGAATAAATCGTCATTTTTTATAAAATATTCCAATTATTATTGCTATAATTGTACTACTGAAAAATATTAAAATTAATGAAGAATACACTTCCATCAACGAATGAAATATAATAATTAATAAATTAATAGTGCAATTTCCTCGACGAGTTAAGTTAAAACTGAGTTAAAAAACCGAAACGCGGAACGAGAATTTTAAGAGTATCATTCTCCGATCGAAGCCGGGTTGATTCGAATCGGCACGGCATGAAAATGCGGCGTTTGTTTTATGACCGGCCGAAAGAAAGGAATGCTTTGTTACTGAGCACGAGTTTACGATTCTCACGAAATCGGAATAAAAAATCGAAACCGGTAAGGGGAGAAGAGGGAACAAGTCAAGCTTACGACCTTAATTCAAATGCTTGGCCGCTGGTTCGCAGGAAGGACAGCTTCCTCGAAATATATGTGAGTGGCATGTATTTTCGTGCGAGTGTCCGAAAGCTCTCTGCGTTTAATTGACGAATCATTGACCCTAAAGTCGTCCGATAAGTTACGCCTTCACAGACCATCTTGTTTCAACTGGCGATACAACAAAAATTCATATAGCGAATGTACATTAAAATTATTTCGCATTCGCATAACACTAATCATGGTTCGCATTAATAAACACGAAATGAATTATGCTAGTTGTATAATTGAACGAAAATTGTTTTAAGGAGAGGTCGCAGCTCGAAGGATGGCATAAACCCACAATTGGACGGCAGCATGTGCTATGTGATAATCACTGGTCGTAGCTTGCTATGGACGCTGATGTCCCTGGTAGCATTAATGGCAGTTTTATCAGGCCTCATCACACCCAAATGGCTCATCGGACCGCAGACGAGGGACACGAGTAATTATTTTCTCTTGCTTAATCCGTGATGACAGTATTATCGCCCGATTTAAGATTCAGATTATATTTAAGAGGGCATTGAACGAAGCTTTCGGCGTTGCTGACTTATCGATGACTATGAAAAACTACTTTAAAAAAGCAATATAAAATTGATGATGTTTGTCCTCGTTATGAACTCGCATATAAACTTTCTTGTCAGAAAATGGATCCGACTCCTATGTCCCAACAGTCGGAATCTTCAATCGTTGCATCAGATTGCACGGTAAGACCCACTGCGCGAATTTCAACGTGGATGGCTTCGCCACGGATTCCAGTGTGTTCCCAGGCTGCTGGAAAGCTTCTTATTTCTTTCTGTCTCTTGGCTTGGCGATCATGGCGATGACCGTGCTAGCAGCTTTGATCGGTTGCTGCATACAAAGCATCGGCAGAAAGAGCATCTTCAACTTAGCTGGTGTGGCACAAGTAATTGCTGGTAATTCTTTCAATATACGCACTTCCAGTCTTTTAGTAATTCGTAATTCATTTTTATACTTTAATTAATTTGCTTATTATCAAATTTTCTTTATATCAACCAGGAATATTTTATTTGCTGGGAATGATCTTGTATCCCGCTGGCTGGGGAGCAGAGAGAGTTCAGAGGATCTGTGGACCAGAAGCTGACGCTTTCTACCTAGCTGATTGTACTTTAGGTAATACGAATTCTAATACGAATACAGGAATGTATAAAATGGAAAGACAGATGTTGAGAATAGTTTTTATTTAGGTTGGGCTTTCTATAGTGCCGTCATAGGGGTCGTACTGACGTTCGTTTGCGCAGTAATCAGCGGCCAAGCGGAAAAGTCAACGGCCAGCGACAAAGTTCAAGACAAGATGAATGAAGGCAAGACATTGATCTGTCTCGCGTGACAGCAAGAACATTTTTAAAACTTTTCGGCTTTCATTCGCCGAGAGAACAAATCAAAAAGAGGCAGATATTCGAAGGACAGAGGTTTCCCTTTTCTCCTTGGACACAGTCAAACACGCGACAAGAAGAAACTAGATCATTCTTTATCATGGGACCAAGTTTGACGTTAGCAAGCACGATCAAGATCGATGACTCCGTTCAAAGGGTCATTGAACTCTTGCTCGATCGAGTACTTACCACAGAGATAAATCTGTTCCGTGCCAATTATTTTTTCGTAATGTTTTCTACGTATACAAACGTAAGGATCATCGAAGATCGTTGTATTCTTTGCTAATGATTCTACACTTTGTTTTATACAAATAAATGTACATTAAATCGATACTCGTAGAAAATAAGGTATGATTAGAGAAGTAATGTATACATTACTGTATGAGGAAGAAGTAAATCGAGGATGTTTTTAAAAAATATTTCTCATCCGTCATATCCTTTTTACTAGGACAGGTAGCATTTGTTGTCCGTCCGTTTTTTATTAATTCATTAAGAACAAATTGTATGGACAACTTACTAGAATCTAATAAATAAATAATCGTAACTGTTTATCCGCGTAAAAAAAGAAGGAAAAGGAAAACGTTCGATGATCGAACGGTCGTTTCGAGAAAGCTACTTGATTTCGCACACAATAAAAAACGCGGAATTTTTTAAATAAAGAGTCAGTCATCTGTGGTGATAGTCTTGATGAATAGAAAGAAATAAGTATATAAGACGTTTAAGAAATATGGTCGAAACAATTACCCTCTTAGACGTACGTACATATGTATCTACACACTTTGGATCGATTTCTCGAAAGAAAAAAGAAATTCGGCGGCGGATACGGATCTTACAGAAGAAGCGACGCGACGGGGAAACTGTTCTGAATATAAATTACTACGTGTGAATCGAGCCCCTAAACGCGGTCTATACAACAGTATGTCGAGATGTAACTAAACAAACGAAGGAAACTAAAAGAAGAAGATAAATATAACGAAAGTGTAATGTAATAGTGTGCGAATTTTCTGTCTTGCTGGCAAACTTACTTACGCGACACGTAATATCGATCTCTGTAAATTACATGATTACATTTTTGCCTACAGTCGCTTGTTTCGTTCCAACCACACGCAATTATTTAATCTATCACGATTATCTACAGTCGCACACGATTGTTGCAATAAAAAAATTAATCTATATGCTCGCGCGCAGTTATGTTTCACGAAAGATTCCGACGAAACTTGCTGTGTATAGAAATCTAAAATAGATCGTCTTTCTCATCGATGTTAGGCGTTTAGAACGGATAAATGAGAACAAAACCGAATGATTTTTAGCAACATCTATTATTGCACATCGCGCAACGGAATTATTAATCCACCGATCAATCAATCAATTAAAACAGATCAACGCGAAACTAAACACTCCACAACGCAACGTGTCTTCATTTCATTCTCATTTATCGACTTAATTGCTGTTCCGCGATCTGTCTGCGGTCTAGCAATAGTTCGGAAGCGATCAGACATGCGAATCGTCGGCTATCTCAGTCGATATTTATGTATGTACACACGTATAAATAATCAAGGCACCAGGGGAATCAACAGTCAATAAATAACGCGAGCTGACAAACGTGATCCTGCATAATATCGCGAGCAGAACGATATTTTGAAAACATTTATTACTGCATTATTCTTTTTTCTCCCAACGCGCATTGAATCGAAACTCACCCAGCGTACTTTAATCAAAATAACCGCATCGTGAATATCGCGACACACACAACATACTGAGTATTTAATTAGATAGCGCATATTATTATTTGGTTGGATGAGCACTAATTACACCTGACGCCTGTTCATCTAGCAGAATATATCTTAAAATTAACGTGGGAACTAAACTATCGGGCGTTCCAAGACCGTCTCTCTACGGGAATGTCAGTTGAGACACGTTAAATCCTACCATTTTGCGTTGGGACTCTGAAGATTCTTTTGTCTTCTATGTAAACCGCAAAATTGATTCGCGATCACGATGTTCCTTCCTCGCGAAAGGGATTTAAATGTTGGGAATAAAATAATAGTAGTTAGGCATTACAGAAACTGTGGGGATGATAATAAAAATAATAGGAATCTTTCTCTCTGGTTTAACTTGTGACTTATGATCTTTCTCAGATCTTCTTTTTGCTTCGTCAGAGTGTATCATTTCTCTTTTGACTAACTTCCATGATTAATTATAGGCTCTTTCTTATTATGCGATCGTTAATAGTTCTCCATGCGATTTGTATAAATATAATTGATTGCTATAAACGCGATATAGAAATATGATCTGTCAGGCCTGCTCGAGTAAATTCTTCTGTCCTATCTTATAAAAAAATTTTCTATCAACGAAAGGCAGTCTCCCAATGCTGTTTTTTCTATTACCGATGATTTTAATTTGCTCTTCATTTATTCTGGTTTGATCCATTTCTTTGTTCTTTTGCTAACGAGATACACTTTTTTTTAAAGAAACACGGAGTTAAGAAATGCTTCAACGCATACTGCGTTATTCTGTTCGCGAGAATGAACACTAAATATCGTATAAATGAAACGAAAGCATAAAATCGATATGAAACGTAACAAGATTAGCACGAGACATCACAGCGTATAAAACAGAAGTGAATCGAACGTGTTTAAAGCGCGCGACGAAAACACCGTAATAAAATACACCGTAAAAATAGTTAAAAACGTGTTATCTGCGATTAAACCAATTCATTTAGTACTTTTCCAATGTCATTCTGTAAAAAATCTTTCTCTTTCTTGTTTGCAAAGGCAAGTTCTTCAACTCTGTCGATTATGTAAAGTGAGTTTGATTGTAATCGTACTATATCGTTCATAGTCAAGTCCCTAGTATAGCAGTCTGACGCATAATTGTGATCAAATTATTTAACTATCTGGGCGCGTGCAAACGCAACACTGAGCAGCGTGTGTCGTAAATTGTTTACAAAAAAAAATCCCCGCGAATTATTCGTCAGGCTGCTTTTACGAAAATGCATAAAAAATACCGCGGTTTGATTTGGCTCGAAGCGTGAACCGTAACCGGAAACGCTGCTACTGAATTATCGATACAAATCCGTCGCCCTTTTTATCGTTATGTATCGGGGGCAAAGATCTTCACGGTATTCTCGGAATTTTGCGCATTCGACCGCATCGCTCGTCTTCTCTCCTCGATCAGTTGCCTTCTGGCCTGTTCCCTGGCTTCCCTCGCTTTCTTGTTCGCCTCGCTGTTCGCCGTCGATTTTGGCTTGTGAATTGGAGCGACGCGGCGTTTCGCCGTGCTACCGTTTTGCGGGGCCGGAGCGACTGTTTTTTTCTCCGGGACCGTCTGAAAAATAATCAAGAATTCACTCGAACGATTAACAGTTGATAATCAATGTTTCAACTCGTTGAAGATGGAAAAAGTATTAAGGATGTATTGGCTATACAGTCAATCCTAAAAGTTTATGTGCCTTAGAAAAACGCATTTCCTATAATTAAAAAGAAATCAGACGTCGGAAGAATAATGCTAATAATAAATAGCTACGTGCTAAAAAGTATAGAAGGAAATATCCAATTAATTATTGACGCTGACGAAAATTTTTTTTTCAAAATTTCGAAAAATGCTTCAAATAAAAGTTGTTTTCCTTCTAATTTCGATATTTAACGAGTATGATTATTTGGCATTTTATTGATGTTGACAAAATCCGACCATCCCAGCGTCGAAACGACGAACTTTTGGCAAAAAATTTCATTTTTCCTTAATTACTCCTAAACCGTTGAATCTATGTGAAAATTGTATATGACCTTTCTTGTAGAGGACGACGAGATCTACAATTTCTGTATAAAAGTACCCCTTGGAAAAATCTCGGAAAAATTGAGATTTTTTTTTGTTGTTTATTATTAGCATTGTTCTTCCGACGTCTGATTTCTTTTTAAAAAATGCATTTCTAAAGTGCATAAACTTTTGGGATTGACTGTATAGCCAATACATCCTTAAAGGAAGCCAAGTATGAATTTAATTTAGACAGCACTAGGAAGAAGGAAGTAAAAAGAATTCGAAAAATTGGTGAATTAGGAAAATGTACTTATGAGAGAATGATTCGTCTTCAGCTCCTTGTATCTTCTACTATTCTTCCAATATTAACCAATTTGATCATCACTATTTTTATACTTTAACAACGATTGAAAAATGAAAGCGGAAGGAGTGGACAATTTATTTTACAAATTCAAGGGCACATTCGATCGCATACAATATTCGTTGGTTTAATACAAATTAAACAAAAACTATGGGCTCCCAAAGGTACCCGTCGTATGAACCGATCTTCAGAAATATCAGAACAAGACTGAGAATACCGTAAACGTACAAATACAACGATAATCGACACAGAGTTCGATTTGATTTGAGAAATCCGAATAAGTGTCGCACTTTGATAGGGAAGCTCTTACTGTGCAATGAATGCGACGGGACTGTAGTATTATCAGAAAACAAACGCACATATTTAAAATCGTCCAGATAACGGTTCTTATTGACCTTCCTTTTTAATGGTAAGTAATTATCAAAATTAATGGACTTGCGATTCTTGCCTCTTTTTCGATCGAGTAATGGATGTATAACAAAATCGGAATTAACGTGTTGCGAAATATCTACTGAAACATTCGCATTAATCTTATGTGACTTCACATTCTGCGTTATTACACTATAATTTAACTTTTTGATACTCATGCGATTCTTTAATCCAGAAGTATTACTTTCCGCGACTTTAGAAACGATTTCAGTATTTAAAGACGACAGCAAAGTAGACAGAAACTTTCGCACTTCAATGTCTTTTTTAGAATATTTTGAAATATTATTTATACCTATCGTCGAGTTATTTTTAGTATCCACTACGCGTCCCATAAGATTAGAAGGCGACAGTAGGCACTGGATTGAAAGATCGCGAGTGTCACGTACAGGAATAAAGATTTCATCGCTCGTCGCATCATCTCGTACACTTATAAAAATTTCATCTTTACCATCCATTTGCTCCAATCTGTTTATCGTTATAATATTACTGCTTGAACTATTATTGGAAACGTTGGATTTGATTTTACAAGATGCAGTTTTCCTTAGAGATTGGTTCTCTTGATGTTTACGAGTCTCTTTACGTTTCTTGTCGTAGATTTTCATTCTATCCAATTTTTCCGATTTGCTCAGGGACGCCGATAAATTCACGTGATTACAAATCTGGTTGTTGTATAGTTGTCTCAATTGCCGTAGAGTTTCCTGAGACAACGGAATGAAAGGTCTCGAATCGCTCAATCTCCAAGCAATACTATTGTACGATGCTCCCGACGAAATCTCGGGTTGTTGTACTATTGTTTTACGTAATTCTCTCACAGATTCCTTTGACAGTTGCTTCGCTTCATCTTTCGCAGATTCTTTCATCTGTTTTGCTTGAACGTTTGCCTGGTTTTTTAAGTCCCACGTTCCAGCAAAACTGGATCTTTCTTTTGGTATGCTATTACTTTTTTCATGTGCTTTACGCGTATTGTTGAGACTATCAAGATTGGACCATATTTGATTCACGACAGAGAGATTGTTAATTTTATTACATTCGTCATTCAACTTCTTTTTATTTTTACTTGTGGAAATGTTATTTGCTGATTTTTCGCGTAATATATTTTTTACGGGTGATCTAAAAATTTGTCCGGTGTCGCTATCATCCAGTGAAGTTTTGTTTCTTGACTGTGATACTGATTTGATGTTGTTCGAAAACGGAACAGCGTATGCGAGTTTTTTCATATTTTCTTTGCACAATGGGGAAACGTGTTTGTAAGGAAACTTGTCGCTTTTCGATGGAACAAAAACTTTCTCCTCGTCCCTTTTTTGGATAATGACCGGTTTTAGATTACGGTGCTTATGTTGGTCGCTAACAACTGATTTAATCGAATCGTTTTTTCGCGGCTTGTTTTCTAGAGTACGCGATCTCGTTTTCCAGTTATCTTTTATTCGAGTATCGTCATTAGGTTTCCTTCCTACAGGGCTACAAGATTTAGCTTTCGATCGAACGATTTCCCTCTTTTTGTCACTATCTACAGTTTTCTTATCGGATAAAAGAGTATTCTTCACAGATGCATTATGATTTTCTTTATTTATAAATCTTTTACTTCCGGTAGGCGAGTCGGAACGATGACTGTATTCTTTCTCGAAACTGTCTTTTCTTGGTTGATTGGATTTATTATTGTCTTTCTTATATAGGACTTCAAAATTTGACGGTATATTATTCTCAAAAAAATCACCACGGTGGTGCGAAATGGAGGGTACACGATCGTTATAATAGAACGGGTTTGCGTTAGATTGCAACATGTTCACGTAGTTAATGACGTACGAGGTACACACATTAACGGGATAATTATGATTTTCTATCGGTCGCACATCGTCTATGCTATTGTAAAGACAGGAGTTACTATCTTCACGGTTCAGATTATAATTTTTATAAGAATTTGTATCTAATACTAAATTTTCGGATATATTTAAATCTTGGAATGCATCGTTGCATAAGCGAGTTTCGAGTGCGAATTCGACTGTTCGAGGAGTAAGCTGATCGTTTCTCGTATGAGTCGATTCTTCGAAATCGTTAAAGGTCGTGTCATTGAATCGTACTCGTTTCACGGAATGTAAAGAGGATCTACGGGAACACGGTTTGACTGGTTTTGGATTATCGGAATTGCAGGGAGAATTAGAACTTCTCTGGGTAGGCTCCGAGGAATTGGGCGTCTGCGGGCGAATAAAATCTGAACATACCTCTTGCCACTGGGAACTTCGTAATTTTTCAATCTGATCAAACAGATTGTTTACTTGGACCACTTGTAGCATCACCATGTCCCAGAACCCAGCTAGATCTTCGTTCGTGGTCGGAAATTCCTCCCCCGGCACTTGATTCTGTAATAGGAAAATATCCAAAACATACCACTTATCTGCACCTTATATGGCTTCGAAACGATTATTTTAAAATAAATTATATTTTCATAAATCCATTTGAAGTTCTGTCAATACTTTCATGCATAAGTTAAAAATAAATTAATTTCTCATTGTTAATTTGACATTAAAAAAAAATTAAATTGAGAAAATAAGGGATGGATCAATGGACAGTTCTATCAGAGAGTGAAATAAGAAGCCTTACAATATTTTTCTGACACAATCCCTCGAACTGTTGCATTTTTTGCGAAGCTAGCAGTCTGGCTTTGCCCGCAGCTGAACGCAGTTTTCCGGCTGCCTCTTCCGGAAGTGCGACAGTATCGCCGCTAGCCAATTCCGCTTCCGCTGACGCAGCTAACAAGAGAAGTCTGTCCGTCTCTTGTTTCAGCAGCTGTAACAATCGACCAAGAAAAATCTTTAAGTCATTTATCTTCTTACGTTTCATTCCTCGTTAAAATCCAACCACAAGCCTTGTACGTACAAGCGGAGGTTTAGACATACCTTGATAAAGTAATGTCCATTCTTTTCCTCGATCGTTTTCTCCGTTTCCTGAACCTGTTTCGCAACATTCGTCGAACTGGCGCTTGGCTCCAACACGGGTAAAACTACTTTGGGCGCGGCTGGTTGCTGATCCGGGATGCTGGTCACACTAGAGTTTAGTTTCTGCGCGCCACTGTTCGCTAGTTTCTCGTCTAAATTCGAAGCGATCGGCGTTTTTGGTTTCTGCTCAACTTTCCGTGATGACGTCAGCCTAATGATTAGGAAAACGTGTTGATTTCTGTCGACTTTCCGACTGTATCTCCTTCAGATCATACATGTAGCTACCTTTGCGGAGGTTTAAGAACTTGTTCCGAACCATCCGTAGGTCTTCTGGGACTGACCACGGGGAGTTGAGCTCGGAACTCCGGTCTCAGATGTCTCAACACTGGCAGATTCTTCAGGGATTCCTCGGTGTTCGCATTCTCCGCCGACACGTCATTGTTGTTACTCGACTTGTTGAAACTATTGCTTGTGTTTGATCTGTTGATGCTACGTTTGAAGAAAAAGCCCTGAGCGAGGGCACCTGGACCGTAGAGCCGTTCTACTCGTTGCTGGATAAAAGATTTCTCGCTGCTTGACGTGGTGTTCAACGTGTGCCCTTCCGTCTCTTCCGATGAACCGTTCAATATACTCGTATCACTGAACGATGCGTTTGTAACTATAAACAAAATTTACAACAAAAAAAATTTTTTTTTTCTTCGGAGAAAGTGTTAAAGATACAAATTCTTGATCGTGCTACTTACGATTAGCTGTAGCTTGTTTCGGAGAGGACATCGAGAAATGCTTGTTTTGTTGACTACAAGACATCATCTGCGACATACCAGGGCTGCGTTTCGATGGTGTAGATGCCCTGATGGGACTGATGTCCGAAAACCCAGAATGTACCACACCTTTGTCTACCTCTGAATAACCTTGGCATATGCCTATCGAACTTCTCGATTCTCTGTAAGCTTCCACTTTACATTCTTCCTTGATACCGTTTGAGAAACCTTTTTGTCTATCCATTGCTAGAGGTGAAATTGACTGACTCTTAGGATATGGATGCGCTGGCACGTTAAGAGTTTCGTTCGATCTGAAACATTTTAATAACCATTCATTATATGAAGAAACAAATTTATGTAAATCCAGTATGTTTCTCCAAATTAGGTTTGTAATTATACTTGCTGGAATGTAAATTAAGAACTGAACGAAATTAAAAACAGAACGAAAAATAATTTAATTAATAAAATTAATTTTACCGGAAACCTGCTGGGCTGGTGTCTCTGGTGATTAATCTAGTGCCAGGACTGCTGTCCCTCGATCGGAATCCTTCCCTGAATTTGCTATCGTATCTGTTGATCCCCGAATAACCGCTGATGCTACAGGCTAGGCCCAAGTAACTCGGTTTCTTCACTGTCAGCTGCTCTGGTTCTGGACTACGTCGATGACCATTGCTGACGTTTAATTTCTCATCTGGCGTCAGGTGAGACTTTTGCAGTGTCTCACTGCTACCGTTTGCCAGATTTTCCGACAAAGGCACCGAGTCACCGTTGCAAGATAAATTCAAACTGTGTAACGTTTTCTTCGATATATTGTCTACGGTGTTTTCTGTGAAATGAAAGCTTACATTAGTTCTCACAGGCCTTTTCTAAGACCAACAGAGCCTATTTTATTTTCTATATTCTCTAATACACTTGCTAGTCCTGTTCTCAACACTTTCTGCGGTGATATTTATACGAATGAGCACGCAATGCTAACTAAAATCTTTACACTTATCGCGGGTTTTTCTTAAAGACCCGAATATGCCCTCGAAATGATACGATTTAGCACTAAAATGTAGTAAAATCACCAACAGACGGATAAGCGTTTCCCAGCGCAAAGACGAACAGAAGCGGGTACGGAAGCATCACCAGGAAAGCTGAAACGCGCCCTGTTCGAAACGCGGCACAGGAATAACCCTGGAATGGCAAGAGGCTGGCCGAATCACGATGCAAAAGAGGCAAGAGAAGACTACCCCTCTGCTCCTCTCTTGGCACCGAGGATGGAAAAAAGCGGTGCTCTGCACTTGCAGCACTCGTCTACGATCTAAATTCGATCGACACCGTGGTGTCGAGCAAAAAGGAACGGTCCACAAGAAGGTGGAGGGAACTGGTAGCCTTGAACGTCCCAAGACCGTCTCGCTCTCGAAATTCGTCGCGAGAGCTGGTGAACGCGTCGTCCTACGCGGCCTTCGTCGCGTCAAGTGCAAGGTCATCCTACGATGCCCCTAAATTCCATCAGTTACTCACAAGACTCTTACTGATTCCACGCGACGAACTCATCAAGAATTGTGTACTTATTTACTTCGTTTTACGTCTAACGCATTGCCAATCGCAAATACGCGACTACCATTCAGTTAAATCAACAGTGTATTACCACCATAAACCGGATTTTGCATCCAGCCGACAAAGTGCTGCGACGCCAGTTGGCGACTAATTGAATAGAATTCTACACCTACTTCCTTATTAGTTTCTCTAATCTCCTACAGAACAGGATGAATGTATTGTATATTCACGAAATTAACACGGTCTCTGTACGGAATTTTATAAATGTACTTGGACTCCTAGTAGCACTTCTTATACGTCTACAGTTGCACATTTTAGGTATCGAAAAATACCAATGAATTTCAGAAGTCTTGACAAATCGACTTCTACTCAATGTTTGCGTATTGACAAAAGACCGTGATTCATAGGTACAAACAGTGTACCATTCGACAAGAAACTATATAGACTGATTCGTGTCCGCAAAACGGTGGACGTCGATGATAGCCAACCTGATCGGTCGGACACGGACTGGTCGATGTCCAGGCTGCAGCTACCGATGCTCTCCTGGCTAGTCATGTTAGGATGATGCCCGGTGACGATGTTGATGGCGTTTCTCGAATCCGGGTCTAGGCGACGATAATTGAGCGGTTGTACTGCTAAAGAGAGTGGCCTGATGCGGCGATTTGACCTGATGCCGGCGGCGCCTGTGACCGACGGCGTCAGCGTCGCGGCGCACAAGTCGCCGGCGTCTTCCAGGCCAGCTACCTCGCCACCGCTGCCGCGCGTTTGCCCACTAGCTCGTCGACGATCCTCGTCTCCGCAGCCCTCGTGCACACTGTTGAGATTTTGTTTGTCTCTTTTTGTTTCGCGATCTTATTTATTCTATGCTTTATCTCGCTGCTATTCCTCACAAGGAATCACATCGAGGAGTTTAGCTTGCCTCAAAATGATTCCTTGTGAGTCAAAAGATGATGGATGTATTTTCGTATATAATGGATAAATAATTATATTTATAATTTATATGAGATACCGTTAACTAGCTTTTTAAATACCCATCAACTTTGAAGCGATCGTGAGTTGGAACTAGGTGCAATGCTTCGATGCTCTCGAGTTGTTCCTAAAAAATCGAACCCGAGAAACGTGTCGATTTCACAATCGTATTCAACGGGGAATCACGGTTTATTATCGAACGATCAATTTTCTATATCTTCGGGCAGGAAAATTATCAATTCAGCGTATCAACCGTTGTCGGTGGAATCACGACGAGCCACGAGAAAGCGGAACGAATTAGCATCGAGAAGCACGGGTCGTTCCGGTCGTTTTGTTCTCGTTTTAAACGACAGAAACCACACTGGCAGGTGGATTAATTTTTTACTTGATGGAATGCGGCTCGAGGGCACCGTGCACATTGATTGGAAGCTTGTGCCGACTTGCAAACGAACTAATCTCCGCGTCGACTTTCACTGGTTTGTTTTAATTAGCCGTAAGATTACCATTTAGCTAGTTATCATCTAATTCAAATGGAAACTTGTTATGCCTACACCGTATCGTGAAAATTCGTTTCACTGCGGTGCATTCAGTGAAAATATGTTGGAAAATGGTAAACACGCAATAATTAAGCGGTTATATAACAAAATTGCATGGTCCGCGTATCTAGGTAATTTCGGACACAACCGTGCCGTCTGTTAACAAAAGTAAACAGAGTTTTATCGCTGCCATTTACGGACCAAGCGCGTTTCCGACGATTTTAAAAGGCAATCATTAAAATCATCCTCGTGGATCTAAATTTACAAACCGACCGGTGGAACACAAAAGACGAATCGCCGCATGTGTTAATATACGTCACGAGCTTCCAATGTTCCCTTCTCTTGACATCAAGTTTTTACACGATAGTTACATGTGCCTGTAAATAGCGACGGAAATAAAATTATGTATTTCAAAATGTAAAATGTTAAAACTTGTAGAAGGAATCCAAGATAATTTTAAAGGTACAATGTTCCATTGCTATTTACGATATTCTAAATGTCGGCTTAATTATTCCGGTCGAATTAACGCGGCACTAATTGCACGTTAATTTGCTGGAGATGCGGTTCTGCGCGAATCGCACGGAGCGGTGCACAATCACAAGGCGGTTGCAAGCTAGTGCGTCGGTCGAGTGCAATTCACTCTCGCATGCATTTGTAAAAGAACGTGAGGTGATGTATGTGCGCAATAAGAAATTGATATACACAACTATGTACCGAGGAGCAGCTAGCTGATCCGTTCCCTTCCAAGTTTTATTAATCACGTCGTTACCTTTAATTGTGTCACGCCAATCAATTAAATACTTCATATTACAATACACATTTTACATTTTTCATGTGAGACATACACATTGATGTATAATAAAGCCAATCGTTCCAATCGTGTTAAACAAGTGAGATTGTTAGTTAGACACGTATTAATCGTAGATAGAAATTCACACTTTCCAAACGACAATTTTACACTTTTTTATACGTTCGTATAATTTCATTGGAAGGTTCGAAGTGCTACCTTTAACTTTTTTTTACAAGTCGTATACAATGATGTTTATCTATTTCCAAGAGGGGTTACGGATTAAGAGGGCATTTGCATATGACGTGCAGCGAAGCTAAAATATGCCAAGATAAGTGCAAGGTGATCGGTGTCATGCTTGTCCGTGAGTGCATTGATCATGAATATAGACGTAGACATACACGAGTGGGAATGATCGGAGAGGAGAATATCAAAGCATCACGAGAATCCTCGTGTTTAGTCGAAGAAATTATGAATCGGCCTTCGATGGGCTTTATCGAAAATCATTTCTTATTAAAGCAATTGTACGTCGTTAACCGTAATATTAACGAGTGCGGGTTCTGAAGAAGCACTGGAAAATCGCCTCTAGCAAGAGGAGATATCGTACTTAACAGAGTCATCGATGGAAACAGTGAAACTGTTGTTGGATAAATAAAACAACTCGTTACATCCGCGAGAACTCGTTTGCCACATGGAATTATAGAAAAAGTTTCACGATGGAGAATTTAGCCCATGTGTACGTGTACTATTTATAGAAAAATGAAAAGTCGAAGCCACTTCTAACGAGGAGACACGACCGGTGAAACTACTCGAGTGAAATCAATATAGTGGGACAAATGATTTGGAAATCAATGTACATCGTCAAAGAAATTGTTTTACCTCCTTCGCCAGTGTTTCCAAAGCAGAAACTTGGAGACATTTTTCCTGGTCACAGGATTCACCGTATAGGTACCACTTTCGATTTTCAAAGGCATCTTCGATTCGCTTTCAGTCCTGTACAACGCGCGTCTTCGGTTTGAAATGTTACATATGTCGTGGATGACACCGGAACCAAAGTTTCTATCCTACATCAATTCGAGGTACTTCCGGACTCTGGTCCTCGTAAAACTCATTTATTAATCAAACGTCGAAGCACGAGAGAAACAAACTTCGTACGCTGAAACGTACTTGAATTTCTTTCTACTTTCTCACTGTTCTGTAAGACTGTTCGCAAGTACTATTCCACACTAATTGAACAAAATTACATCACTCGTATTATCGTATAGAGGATCGTGTCCAACAGCACGTTCCTGATTTTCATGGTGAATCACGGTACGTGGGGGAGCGCTGGATCGGCCAGCATGAAGTTCCTTTTCTGCGACCTTTGTCACCGGGTAAGAACTCGCAAAGGCACGTTGCTAGGATGACTAGTTACCGAAGACTGGCATTCCCATCTCATCTCTCTCTTCTACGACTCTCTAAACGCACTCTCTCCCTCGCTTTCCTCCCCCTTCATCTTTCCTCGTGCCCTCAGCACGACGATATTTCGGGAGCACTCAAAAAACCACGAAAGCGCACGAGCCGCTTCCTCCGCTTCTCTTGCTCTTCCCTTTTACTCCGATCTCGGAACGCACATCAGTGCTCCTTCCAGTTACGCGTCCTTTTCATTTATTTTTGTACGTACGAACGGTTTCAAAAATTTTACTGTGCGAACACCTCTAAAATTTTGAAACAGAGTATCAATAGAAATGAAAAAAAATGTTTGATAAAAATGAAAATGAAATCAAGATAATAAGGTTCGAAACATCGTGAAGAACATGCGCAACGAACCGATGACATTACTTATAAATGAAAGCGGTGCAGAAAAATACACGGCTGACAGTTCGAACACGTGTCTGGCACGCGTTTCCACGGACGTTCACGCGCCGAAGGTTCGTGCGTTCGATTTCACGTTCGCAAGAGCGGCAAAGTACCAGGCGGAGAAGTTCGAAGGGTTAATAACCCTCTCTCTCCCGTAGTCTTTTCACAGACTCGGTCTTAACGCGCCGACAACCCGTAAGCGTCTTTATGGCTGCCGTAATGCACTACCGGTGCCGTACACGGAAATGACCATACGTTTTCGTGTTGCTTTAACATTTTCTGCGAGAGTCTTCAATATCGCATATAGCGAAACATTATCTCTCTACCATTTACATTTTTGATAATGGAATACAACATCACGTATTTGTTTTCACTGTTGAAACTCATGTAATTTTAGAAGATTATTGCATGCGATGCTCACTAACCATTAGAGTTCTATATAAATTCTATTCTTTCTTTTAACTTTCTATTTTTGGTAGATTCTTCTGTTTTTCAGTAGTTGTATTCGTAATCGAGATTAAATATTTACACGTACTTGCACGCGTGCATCTCCAGTGTCTTGAGCATATCCACGTTGACATAGGGATCGTTAAACCCAGAAGTGACATACCCCAAACCGATGCAAACACGGAACCCTTGCCCCTTTCCAGAACCGCGACAAACTGGAGTCTGTCGGTTTCAATTACCGAATCCATAAATCACTAGTGAAGTCTTATTTCTCGCAAGCGGAAATAAATGAGTGACGGAGTCGACCCATGTTGACAGAACCCTTCAATATCGTTAAATTTTCTATTCTAGGACGGATTCAGGAACAGCCAGCTAACATTTTTAACGAACTGTACACTTTCAAAACGTGTTTTCGTAAAAATGACAAATATCGAGACCGATTCCTATGATCGTTCGATCCGTGGCGAATGTAACACGGTTCCGGAAAAAGTTCACGATATAAATATCGCCTACAAGCTCATATACGCATGACCAGCGTGAAACAAGAGCTGCCGTCTGGGAATGCAGAAAACGCAGCTATGAATTCGAATGCAATATGGTGCGCTCGCGGAGAAGCACCATTCTGGGTAGAGTGCAGCTGGACGGATGGAAAATTACTCAGGGCGGTACGTAGTACTAGAACCTAAAGCTTCCCGCGAGTCAAGCGTGCATTGTCGATGATTCTAAGAGCATTGTTCGACCAATTGATAGTGTGCAGCCCTCGTGGAAGAGTCGAGTCGAGCCACGATCGCTTTCACGAATCGATTCCCCATTTACAAATAAACGGCAGAGTTCTTCTTTCATCGGGGACTCAATTTTAGAGAGAATTAAAGGGACAGGAATTAGAAAAGCTTCAAGCTGCCATTCATAAATGTCTATTGTATTAAGTCGTAGCCGAACAAAATGCGGACTGCGTTCAAACAATTAGTCTTGTGGTGGAAACACAGTAAGCGATATGAAAGAGGAAAGGAAAACACCTGAACTTATCTTGTTGCGGTCGAGCAAGCAAGCAATGAGCCCAGTTGTGCAAACGGGTGATAACGTATCAACGAGTATGCGCTCGGTAGCACGTTTTGCTGTTGAAATGTAACTACAGCGAATGTGTAGGTAAAGAATACTATTTAGTATACTACACCGATACTCAGCTGAAACATTGTCGATGCTAAATGTTAGAAATAGCAGAGAATCGTGTTACGC